AACGGCTGGAGATAAACGGCCACACAACTGACCACGATAGGCATAAAGGCCCAAACGGCAGAAAAGAAGCTGCCACGAGACAGGGCTCTCATCCGCGACAGAGGCTAAAGGATAGGTAGAGGTTTCCGAAATTTCGACTTCAGACTCCTGAATTCGGCAGAGTGATTAGTAAAATGCCCAACACACACGAGTGAGTTCTCGATCAAAAGACATCTGGCCCTTTGAAGCGGCTCCTGGATATCACGACACGGAACACTCGAGAACGTTTTAGAGAAGGCTTCCTCGAATAAATTAGCTCGACTGTAAGACGTTTACGAGGTATGGTTCCATGGTGTTCGATCTGATGTTCTCCGATTTGTACCTCTGTGTAACGTTCTGTGTAACGTAAGGTTCTGGAATGAGTTTTCTGAGGTCTTCTGGCAAGATGTCTTCTTCATAGCGCTTGACGTTCATATTTTACAGGCCATGACTGCAAGGGCAAACTGTCACCTTCTAAGGGCGATGGACGCCCTTCGGGACATCTACACCTTTTGCTTGGAAGAAAGTCCTGGAAACCCCATGACAACTGAAGCGTTTCAGCAATTCTCCTCCCAGTACGAGGGAACGCTGAAGGTTGCCCTTACCAAACGTCAAAGGGCTCAACTTCTGAGAAAGGCTTTCCCAAATCATCTAGGGAGGCAAACCATTGTATCTATAGACAGTAGAAGAACGTTTGCCTACTTCATCAGGAGACGATGGAGCGAAGACTCCTTGAGAGTGGCAAAGGTCCCCCGGACCTTTGTCCGAGGCTTTGAAGCGTACGACCATTACTTCCTCTTTCTCACCAACAACAAGGAAGAAAGCTTCTTTTTCCACCTGTGGGTAGCCCACGGTGGCGAGGACCACATGAAATTTCTGATATCCCTAGACCCTCTCGAGCAAGTCCTCCAGGGGAACGAGTTAAGGTTTAAAGAAGAGAAAGGGATGCGCCCCGCACATCACATACTTCTTTTATGTACCCATTTGCAGGGGTTATCATCCCAATATGACCTCCTCCTTGACAATTGTGAGCATTTTGCTAACTGGCTGGGGAGAAACAACTTCTCCGGCACTCATGCGGCCTCCCACAGTTGGTTGGCGAACATGTTGTCGACAACATTTCGTTCAACGAGGGGACTCATCAACGAACAAATTTTACGAAGTGTTGGACAAAACCTACTATTCTACATCCCCCTCGAGAGAATGCGGGAGGCCGAGAGATCGGAAGCGGCCCAAGAAGAACCGGCGGCCGCGGCGGCTCCCGGGGTCCCATCGACCTCCGGAGTGACAAGGACAAGGACAACAAAATTCGGCGGTCATCGCCTCCCCGGCTGGGCCAAGAGAAAACCAGAGTCAACTCCTCAATGATTGGGCCAGCCCCCAGCAGACTGAACCTCCTATTCTGGATTTACAGGCACAGATTATTTTGAATAAATTGCTTGTAATAATGTTGGTTGACTCTCTGCTTGGCTAGCACTTGATCACACATCATAATACCATTGTGGTTAGATGCCAAAATCGGCATTTCCTTCACTTTTGATTGTGCCATAATTTTTCAGGATATTTTCAGAAATCAGCTGAGAGACAAAACAAGGCGTAAAATGTTTGGCATTCCTACTTTAATAGCTCGAGTTTCTTAAAATGTTGGTATGAAGTACAAGAGAGAATAACAAGTTGCAATTAAGGTTTTAATATTTCAATTAGGCATATGGTACCTGTTTGATTCTTATTTGGCCGACTCAGGCTTTTGTCCTACCTTCCTGCCAAAAACATGATTTGGTCCATGTGAATTGTCATGGATACCATCTTCGTGACTTCTATAGTAATGTTTAAAATGTTAATCTCAACATGAATGTGCCAGTTAAAATTCACTAAAACATGATTCATAATCTTCCTGTGTGGACAGTTTGGGGGACAACACATTAGGAGCCTTTGAAGATATGATTGAAACTCTAAGTCCAGATTTGCTTCAGACTCTAGGCATGTTTTACATAACTTGGTAATTGGAGATTCCTTATGAAGAGTAAATCAAAGAATGACCGCATCCCAATTACATTGCTTGCCAAGAGACTGCCTTAGCACTTAGATTCTTCAATCAAGTTACAAGTATTGCAAGAATAATAAGTGATTCCTTTATGTATTTCATGTGTTTCCATAGGCCAGTGACCTCCTAGGACATGCAAGAGTGGGATTGCAGAAGGCCTTACTCATGGAAAATTATGGAAGTTTAATTATTTTTGACCTGGTGGCCCAGCTCGTTTTTTTTTCGGGGGAGGCTCTACTTTATCTTCTTCATGGCTCTACTGGCAAAAGCACAAAATCTTGAAGCAGCAGAGGCACTTCATGGCCCGATTCTTGAGAATAAGAATTTTTGCCCTCATGCTACAGTTTCTGTTAATCATCCTCAAAACTAGCGTCAGTTCCCAACTACAAATGCAATTTTCATCTCTCTGAGAGGCTGAACATTTCAGAAATCGCATTTGTAGATTAGAAGAGGATGCGGAATAACGTGATCAAGACATGAAGTCTCAGATGAGACAGCTCACATCGATGACGATAGATCTGAGCTAAGGGAGGGACGTGTTCGAATCCGAGGGTAGCGACAAAACCGTCCACCCTCCAGGTGATTTTCTCGAGGCATACACAGGAGTCTGTCAAAGTTTTTCTGTCCTTTTGGTCAAAGAAGTGGGGACGCAGTTGGCACGTCAGAATACACGTTGCATCAAGTGCAATTTGTTAGGCCATAGAGCTAGTTATTGTCAGAGAAGAGTGGACTCAAATCGTGAATCACACACAGGCACTGAAAGAGCCCTCTCGAAAGTCCCCACTCATGGAAGATTTGTTTTAACTGATTCTAGGCGTGGGGCTCGTAGGCCACTTGCATCAGGCTACCACTGTTGAATTAACGGAAAACAGTGAAAGCATTGAAAGGGGACGGGACTTCCAATTCAGACGCGTCCACATTGCCCAAACGGGCAGCTCATTCGTGGAGCACAGAATGGCAGGATAGCTGCCCACTTCACCACCGCAGACCATTCGACGTTGTCCAAATAGCTCGATGACCAAATAGCCCGAGACACAATTGACCAGCAAATGCACGGAGAATTCGGATCGACAGTTCTGCACTCGCGGAGGTATTCCGATGTTGTAAAATGATATTCTTGAACAGCAAAAATGCTCTCTGCCAAGCGAAGGGCACGGGACAATGGTCACAATGGGCTCGTTTTGATAGGAATTACCCGCAAGTTGCTTTGTGGACGACTGGCAACACTTGGGGAAAGCCACCATCCAGCGAAACTACTTTGACACCGAATATTCATCGTCGATCGAGTCCTGCAAATCAGCCCCCGAATCGATCAGCCTGGCAACGGTCGGCAGAGTTTCCCAGCCAACCTAGAAGCACTGGTAAGTGCCTCATAATGCATTTTATTGAACACTTATAGGAAGACGATACCAGAATAGTCATTCGTCTGGGATCGAAAGTATTCGCTTTTGCAAGAGGATGGTAATTTATTTTATATTTTTTATTCAAGGAGGAAGTTGCACCTTAGTTTAGCTCCATATCCATTGTTGATGAATTAGCCTCTTTCTCTCTCGTTGCGTCTCGACATTGTATGATCTGTTCTCGTTCTCCTGCTTGAAGCTCCAGTCGTGAGAAGTTACAGTTCTGTCCATCGAGAACACTCCTCGTCAAGGTGTGGCATCCACTTCATCATAGACATGTATAAATCGAAAACTATTAAATTCTTTCATGTGGATATTTTTGTGGGAGGATACATATGCCTAATCGCCTACGTCG